ACAGTTGTTTTCAGGTTCTCAGACTTCATGGGTGGAGGTGACGGTCCCAGCGCACCGAGGGACCCCGGACACTGACCTTGAGGTCCAGTGGGTGGTTGGCCCTTTAGCTTCTCAGAGTATGGTGTGGTGGCAACTCCAAGGAAAGACGAATCCAGCCCGCTCAGCCTGTCTTATCACCCTCCTGAGCATGAGCGGGAGGGCCAGGGTCAGCCAGGAACCCTGCAGAGGTGGCAGAGAAAGATTGGGCCTGTGGGTTCTACCCTCAGTCCATCAGGAACTGGTACAACGTAGACCTTTATCCAAAGCCATGGTTGGAGCCAGTGGCAACCTGGTACCCACTGGAACTGACACAGGCCTGCTGCCCATGGGCTCGGAGGTCCTGATGGCATCAAGTCTGCACATGCAGAGCCACCTTCCCAGACAAGGAGCCCACACCACCCCATTACCTCCACCCCCTTGCACTCCCACTTCATGAAAGATACTGTCAGCCAGCTGGCTACAGGGAGCTGAGGTGGGTGGAGGCCCTCCAGTCCCAGGATTCTGTGCGCGGTACCGAAGCGAGGTGGTGGTTGGGTGAAGATTGACTCTAGCACAGTTGTGGAGGTTCAGGAGAACCACCTGGATTTGTTATGCTGCGTTTTGTGGTTGGTGAGCAGCAGAGCAAAGTGATCATCGAGTTGCCCCCTGAGCACCCCCTTCTTTGTATATGGCCAAGGGTGGTCCTCCTGCAGCCCTGGGCGGACTGCACAACTCTTCTCTCTGCCCTGCCATCGGCTACAGGTGGGAGATGTCCGCATCTCTATCAGTTGACAGAACTTGAACAGTAACTTGGTTTCTGAGGCCAGCTATGCTCCCCTAAGGCAGCTGGGTCCCCCCACCAAAGACCTAAGATGGTCTTGGGACCCGGAGACCTGTGTGACAGCCCACAGGAGAGGGCTCCCACGTGACAGCGCCCTCCCAGCCTGAGCCTGTTGCTTCCAACTCCCACAGACGCAGTGCGCAAGGCAGGTGGCACGCACTCTGCTACTCAGTCCCTCTTTCATTCTCTTCTGCCCAGGTGGCTTTGTCCACTCTGACCAAGAACTCTGGTTTCTGGTATTAGGGTTCTCTGGTTTCCTCATCGGCTAAAATCTTTGTTTTTAAGAACTCTAAGTCGTGGCCCCCCCTCTTTTACTGTCATGTGGCTTGGGGGAGAAACAAGAAGGGAAACATGTCCTGGACCAGGGCAAACGCACCTGGTGAGGCAAGTCCCACTCTGGTATTTTCAGGTTTTTGTTTTGTTTGTTTTTTTTTTTCTACTGGGAATCGAACTCAAGACCTTGCACTTGCCAGGCAGGCGCTTGTGCCACTGAGCTAAATCCCCTGCCCACTCTGGTATTTTCATCTGTCCACCTCTTGCCTTCAGTTGTGTGCAAGCCATCCCCTCCCACTGCCAGCACTAGGGATCTAGGAGCGTCTTGGTGACATTTGAATACTGGAAGTACATTTCATTTCCGGATGGTATTTTCCTCTGTACAGAATTTTCAGTCTTACTCACATGTGCTACCCTTTGTCATAACTTTCCACGTCTTTTAGCATCAGCCTGGACTGTGGGATTCTACTGGCATTGGGATTCAGGCTCCCCCACCAGCTATCAGGTGGCTGAATGGTCTTGTTTGTTTGATTTTGGGGAGGTCTTGAGACTCTTGACGGCAACTCAGGGTATTGTCCACCCAGCTCTGGTTAGGTTTGTCCCAGGTATGACACTGGCATCTCTTTTTATTCATGGGCTGGCCTCTCATCAGGAGACCCAAATCTCTGAGGTCTGAGCTCTGCTCTGTCAAAGACTGTAGGCAAATCTTAGGACCTCTCACTCTTTCACTTCCTCCCCAGGTGCGGAATGGAGATAAATAACCTTACCTACCTCCTGGGGGAGGGGAAGTTCTGAGAATAGAGTCATTCTTAGTGTTCAGGTGCTAAAGGTTGTTCTTCTAGGAGGACAGAGGACTGAAGCTGGCTTGTCTGCTACAAGCTCTGCACTCCGCCGCTTCCTTCCTTGAGAGCAGTTACCTGGTCAGTGAGCTTCGCGGAGTCCAAAGAGGGCTCCTGTCCTGACCACATGTTCTTCGGCCTCTGGTTTAAGTCAGAACCAAATACCAACTTGTATTGCATTTGAGATCGTGTTCTTTCCCTTTTCTATCCCCCATTCGCTCTAAATGCTTGTTTCCCACAGTGGGAGCCTGTGGGGCTGGGGTTGAGTCTTGAGGAATCTCAGATGAGAGTCTTGGGCGAGGCCTCATCTCTGGCTGTTTCATGAGCAACCTATTCCTAGGGATTATCATCCGGATAGATTTTTCCCAAGCAGCCTTCTTCATAGGAGAAGAAGGACTATTCCTCCTCAGGGAAATAGGGTGACACAGCAGACCCTTGAGAAGTGTCCACCTCGACACCAACTGAGCTTCTTCCTCACGGGAGCAAACTTGTATCTACCCAGGTTCAGACCAAGTACTTTAAGTCAAAGCACCCTCCATTCAGTGAGTTCAGGACTAGCCTGGACTGCATAGTGAGACTCTGTCTCAAAAAAAAAAAAAAATCCTAAGACTTACATCACCATTCTCATCAAGATTATTATAACTGGGAAAAGGGATCTGGGAGTTCAGAGCTTAGTATTATACCCGACAGGAGAGCTCTCAGCAGATCTGGACTGACCCTTCTACATGCTTGGCCCCAGTTGGTCATAACATCATGGCTTTCCTCTGTGCTGCTTTGCCACTGCAGCTCTTTGCTCACCGCCCTGCCTGCTGCCCTCTGTGGTCCCCGTTCTTCATGTCTTTGGCCATGTAAATTATAGTCAGGCACTTGTCTATTTTTGTTTGTGTTTTGCCAGGGTTACTGTACAGCACGGCCATGCTGAATAGGGACGGTATGAAACGCTGCTGCTGTGCTGGTGAATCCAAATGGATATGACTGTTTGGCTCCAAAGAGCTACCTGTCTTGAGAAAGAAATAAGCAGTTCCTATGAGAGGGTGTTTCTGTTGTATTACTTCTATCTTTCTTTCTTTCTTTTTTTTTTTGAGATAGAGTTTCATTATGTAGCACAGGCTGGCCTCAAACTCATAGCAGTCCTCCTGCTTCAGCCTCCCAAGTGCTGGGATTACAGGTGTGTGCCACCACAGCCGGTTGTTTACTTCTTTCTGTGTGGGATCTTGTATTCCGTTTTAAAAACTGAGTAAGAGAGAAACATATTAGGGCCTGTGCCAGCATCCCAGCAAGATGCATGTAGCTCCAGTTACACGGGTTCTAGGGTTGGGAGAGGGTTTGAAGTTTGGCTGAAGTAGCCCCTCCAGTATGGTTTAGTTTGATTTTTTTTTTTCTTATGGGTATCATAGGTGATTTAGAGGAAGCACAAGATGATAATATGATTTAAACCTGCAAGAAGCAGGCATATGGTAGAGTTGACTGATCACACTGGAGCTGAAAGTGGACATGGGATGACTCAGAAAGGGCCTAGGTCCATTGGAGTAAAGATAACTGGGTTAACTGAATTGGCCATGGGAGATTAGGCCGTAGTCTTAGAAGCAAAGTAACTAGAACAGAGGCCAAGTTTTAGGGAGATGTCTTGACTTCCTTGGGCTAAGTTGATTAAACCACACTGAAGCTACAGTACTCTCCAGGTGGGAGGAAGTGTACACTACAGGTGAAGAGATGAGCCCTGCTAGGTTGGGTGTTGATTAGCAGCCTAACTAGCCTTTTGCTGCGAAGCCTTCACCACCCTGCAAGGGCAGGAAAGATCTCCTACACTACACAATAATAAAATAATCCGTGTCAGGGCTGGGGATTTAGCTCAGTGGCAAAAGCGCCTGCCTGGCATACGCAAGGTCGTGAGTTCGGTTCCCGGTACCAGAGAAAACCAAAAAAATAAAAAAAATAAAAAAAATAAAAAAAATAAAATAAGCCGTGTCAACACACACACACACACACACACACACACACACACACACACACACCATTTTAAACATGTTCTCTGGTCTGCATGAGGTACTGAACCAGAAGCACTATTTTTGTTTTGGTTTTGTGGTACCTGGGATGGAACCCAGGAGCTTAGGGATGCTTTGCCACTGAGCTAAATCCTGAGCTCCCCCACCGCCTTGGGGACTAAGCCCAGGGCCTTTGCACTGAGCTATATTCACAGCCATCTATATTTGAGACAGGGTCTCCCTAAGTTGCTAAACTGCCCAGGCTACACTCAAACGTGATCTTCTTGCCTCAGACTCCTGCTTTTGGGAATTACAGGCACGTGCCACGATGCCCAGCACTAAGCCCTTTTTAAAAATCCAGACAAGGTCTCACAAAGTTGCCCAGGCTGTGCTTGAATTGGAGATCCTCCTGCCTCAGCCTCCAGAGTAACTGGGATTACAGGCCTGTGAAACCACACCTGGTGAACCAAAAACTCTTTAAACGTAAAAACTTATCCTTGTTACTGGGCACAGCCATGCTCAAAATATGAGTCACTTAATCAACAGCTGCCGAATTACATGACAGGGTAGTAGAATGCTAAGTAGAAGAAGAATATCCCCAAAAGTTTGAACTGGATGTTGGAAAAGAAGTTCGCTCATTGAAGAGCTAACAGAACTCCAGGTGGGAAACAGGTATGTGTGAAGGTGGGAAGACATGCTGAAGCCAGGCGTGAAATTCCCTGTGACTGGAGCACTGTCTTTTTATGTGAGGTGCAGGTCTGGGATAGTGTACAACCTCAATTCCATCGCCGTCGAGTGCATAAGATATTCACTGAAGCAGAAAGAGCAAGTGGGTGGTGATCTCCGAATCCCTTGGAAAAGACCGAGGACCCCGCCCAGCAGCAGAGCTTCGCACCTTGCCCTGTGCACAGCACGTGCGGCCCGCTCTCCTCGCACCCCATCCAGCGAGGAAACCCTGGGGACGCCCGGGGCGGGGCGCGCAGGCGCGCTGAGGCCTCGAGCCCCAAGGGGCGGGCGGGTGCGCGCTCTCTCGCGCACGCGCGCACGGAGGGGGCGACGGCCGCCGTGACGCTCCGGCGGCGGCGCGTGAGGCGCGCGATTCCCCGCGTCTTGGGACTAGTGTCCCGGCCGCCGCCGCCATGTCGGGCCGCTCCGTCCGGGCCGAGACCCGCAGCCGGGCCAAAGACGACATCAAGAAGGTGATGGCTGCCATCGAGAAAGTGCGGAAATGGTGAGGGGCGGGAGCTGAGGGTGCGACCTGGGCAGTTAAGGGCCCAGGCCCTGAGGAGCGCCGCACTGGCAGGCGGGGTGGGAGCCGAGCGGCCGGCGCTGGGGGAGGGGGGCGTAGGAGGAGAGAGGAGTGTGCGCCGGAATCTGCGTGAGGTTAGAGGGCGCGCCGGCTGTAGCCAATCAGAGAGCCTCCCCGCTCGCGGGCCCGCCCATCTGTCGCGTCCCCCGGCTTCCGGCTTCCTGTTTCGCCCAGCTGGCGGATCCTGGTGTGGCGCACCTGACCCTGGGGACTTTCCTGCCCAGCTCGCATCCGGGTGTCCGCTTCCGAACTGACCGTTAATGGTAGTGAATCATCGTGAAGTGGTCTCGGTCTGCCACACCGAGATCGCTGCACGTATTAAGTCGTTTAAGTTTGACGGGAAGTTTCTCGGGCAATCTTAACTGCCATAGGAGCGAGTGTGGTCGTCAGAATGGAAACCTCTTTCCTTCCTCGAACGCCGGGTTCTCTCCCCATGCGCCCTTGGGAGACATTTTCTTTTGGTGCCCTGGGAGCCGTCACTTAGGCCTTTTACGGCATCGGTAGCGTTCATCGAAGACGTCGATCGCGCGACTGTTGCTTTTGTGTTTGTTTTGCGGTAGTGAAGATTGAACCCAGGGCCTTCGCCGTGGGCTGCATCGCCAAGCCTGCCTTTTTTTTTTTTTTTTTTTTTTTTTTTTTTTTTTTTTTTGGTTTTTCTCCGGTACCGGGAACCGAACTCACGACCTTGCGCATGCCAGGCCGGCGCTTTTGCCGCTGAGCTAAATCCCCAGCCCCAAGCCTGCCTTTTTTTGAGGGACTGTTTTGTGTCAGCATCTCTGATGCCCTTAGCATATTAAACTTCACAGCCCAACTCCTGAGCCCTTTTCTCTGGCTGATTAGTTCAGGTAGGTGTTAACTTTCTCCAGGAACTCTTCTCTGGCCCCTCGCACTCTTCACACTCTCGGCCCTCGGGACGACAGTACCGTGCACTGTGCTTATTGTCCCCTTCCCCGCAAGACGGAAATTGTCTCTCACTATACTCAAGGGTTTCATGTATACTTGAGACTCAAGTATTAAGTAGTTTAGGTGTCCCTATTCATTTGGGATCCTCCTGGATTTTGGTGCAGCCTAAAAGTCAGCATACATCCCTTCTTGCCATCTGTGTCCCAGCAGCCTACGTCACAGGGGGTCCTCTCTCACTAGCAGTCTTCCTTCCCTGGGATCGGTAGTCTCCCTGCCTCTTCCTTGCCCATCCCCCAGTCTGGTCATGTTGTACTGCGTGATTTTGTTTTTGTCACTTCCAAGTACCAAACTCGAGCTTTTCAAAGCACACAGCATGGCACTCCACCGCGTCCAAAGTGATGGTTCTGCTTTGGTGTCTTTCTGTTTCTGAGATAATCACCAAAGAACTTCCTTCCTTGTCCGGCTCTTTCCCAGATGCTAGTGGCATGCTGCTGTGCTGAGAAGGTGCCTCACATCCTGCGCCCATCTCTTTAGCTAGTTAACTTCTAGCTCAGCTCTGGAGTTGCCTCCCCAAGGTTACTTTTTGAGATTCCCAGTCTAGGTCAGGTCCTTTTCTTTTTTTTTTTTTTTTGGTACCGGGAATTGAACTCTCCACAGCTGTATTAGATTGAGCTGCAATACATTATCTGTGTTTGACTTTTTAACATGCAAAAGTGATAATTGAACTAGGTGACACATGCTTGTAATACCAGCTACCTGGAAGACTGAGGCAGAAGATTGCCTGAACTCAGGGGTTTCAGATCAGCCTGGGCAAGAGAGAGACCCATCTCTTGGGGGAAAAAAAGGGAAGAAGGAAGGAAATAGTTAAACCTAATGATTAAGTACTTAGTAGTGAAATGATTTGGTATGTTTCCTGCTGGACCGCAGGCTCTAGGAGGATAGGGAGAGATTCCTGGGATCTAGCATAGGATTCCCTGCATTCCTGGAGCCCAGCAGAGAATCTTGCCTATTATTTATTGAAAAAATGGGGAAATGGAGTGATCTAGTCAGGAAATCATTCCAGTTTCCTGAGCTTTCAGCTCTTTCTTTCTGTTACATTACAATTTCTCAGGGCACCCATTTGGTTGGAACTGGAGGAATAGTGGGCAGTGTATTTCTCGTGCTACCAGGGGTGGCAGTACCTTCGGCTGTGGCAGAAGTGGGTAACTCAGGGCTTTGGTGAGGATAAGAGAGAAATGCAGGTCAGAGCTGGCACAGGAGTGGGGCAGCCAGATGTTTGTCATTCTCGTTCTGTGGTGTGACTTGAATTTTTGCTGAAATCCCATTTTACAGTTTATCCGTCCAGGCCCTTCAACATTTTGGTGCATTTCTAGCAAATCCTTTCTTGCCTAAATTAGCTGGAGAGGATTCTGTTGTCTGTACCTGGTCATGCTGATGGATAAAATAAATGCTTTATGAAGTTAAAAAAAAATAGCCAGGCATGGTGATGCACACCTGTAATCCCAGCACCTGGGAGGCAAAGGCAGGAAGTTTTTGAGTTTGAGGCCAGCCTAGGCTGTGTAGCAACAATCTGTCCTTAAACAAACAAATACAGTCAAGGTGCCAGTTCAGAACAGTGAATTTAGTTTAATCGGTTCTAGAATTGTCAGGCCTTAAAGTGATTTAGAGAAAGCTGGGGGTGGTGGCACATGCCTATAACCCCAGTATGCAGGAGGCTGAGGCAGGAGGGTCACTGTGAGTTCCAGGCCAGCCTAAAGTGTGAGATCCTGCCTCAAAAAACAAAAGAGAGATTTAGAGTGACTTTAGGTGAGACAGCCATCCCACCCTGTGCCTTTGTACATACGCTTGTTAATTACTGTGGTTTTCTCCTTCATTGTGATACAGTGAGAAACAAGAATTTCTGTGATGCTTTGAACTTCAGAGTTGAAAATTCAAAAATTTCTTTGGAATAGTTTCCTCTTCTATATGTTGTCACCCAGAATGGCAAGGGATCATTTCCATGGCTGTCACTTCCCCTCCTGCAGCACATGTCTTCCTTGTGATAGTTTAATCCCTTGGAGGGACCTTCAGGTGGAGGGAGAAGAGGCATAGTTAGTTTCCATGATCAGCTTAGAGCAATTAAAAGATTTTTTCTTAAAATTGTCATTGTCTTTTTTTTTTTTTTTTTTTTAACCAGCATTGGAGAATAAACCCAGGGGCACTCTACCATGGAGCTATAGTCCCATGCCTTTTATTTTTTTGTTTTGATATTTTGTTTTGTTTTTTAGCTATGTTGTTTTATCAGTCTTTTTACTAATAAAATTAGTAAAAAGCTGTCTAATGAGACAAGTCATGTGTGTACAAGCCACTTGGCAGTAAGACATACAAATTACAGCCCAGTTGGTACTGTGTTAATTCTAGCTACTTGGGAGGCTGAAGCAGGAGAATCCCAAGTTCCAGGCCAGCTGGGGCAATTTAGCAGGACCCTGCTTCAAAATAAATTTTTATTATTTGTTTTTTGTTTTTTTGAGACAGGATCTCATTATGTAATTCAGACTGGCCTCCAGTTCACTCTGTAGCCCAGGCTGGCCTCAAACTTGTGGAGCTCCTCCCTTAGCTTCCTTGAAGAGGATGTACTGAATAAGAGCCAGAACTCACTCAGGTGGTATACTTTATTTACTTACCTTTCTGGTTTGTTTGTTTTGTTCTTTTTTTTTTTTTTTTTTGGAGACAGAGTCTCACTATGCAGTTCAGGCTGGCCTCGAACTCGCAATGATCCTCTGGCCACAGCCTCCTGACCTGAATGCTGGGATTACAGGCTCGCTCCCCAACACTTGGCTTTTTTTTTTTTTCTTCCAGTTTTTTTGAGACAGGATCTTCCTGTGTAGCTCAGGCTGGCCTCAAACTCATGGGAATCCTCCAGCCTCAGCCTCCTGAGTGCTGGGATTACAGGCAGGCGTCACAGACTGTGCAGTATACTTCAGAAGTGTGGAACTCACACTGGGCACAGTGGCACTCACCTGTAATCCAAGCACTTTGGTAGACTTGAAAGTTCAAGTCCCTCCTGGATAATTTAGAGAGACCTTGTTTTAGAATAAAAAATAAAAGTGGTAGAACATCCCTAGTTTGATCCCTAGTAACACACGCACACGCACACGCACACGCACTCACACATTTGATAAAAGCACACAAACTACCTCATACATAAATGAAAAAGAATGTGTGAGCTGGGCTTGCTGGTGCATGACTGTAATCTCAGTTTCTTGGGATGCTGAAGATCACGTGGTTGGGCCCAGACTGGGCATTTAGCAAGATCTTTTCTCAAAGTGGAATAACAAAAGGGCCATGGGACTAGCTCAGTGGTAGAGCACCTGCCTAGCACTGAGTTCAGTTCCCAGCACTGCAGGAAAAAAAAAAGAAATGTGTTGTTTAATCCCTTCTCCAAAATACCCTCAGACTGCTGTCCACAATTTGATTATTTTACTGTTCCCAGCAACACTTCAGGTATAATCTGACGACACTGGAATTGAAGGAATGATCTGCTAAGAAATGGAAGTGTACAAGTTAACGAACAGGAAATTTATTTTGTGTTATATTCTAAGAATTGCCTTTCTTTTAGGGAGAAAAAGTGGGTGACTGTGGGTGACACATCCCTTAGGATATTTAAGTGGGTTCCTGTGACAGACAGCAAGGAGGTAAGTGTGGAAGAAAATCCAGACAACAAAACGGTATTGTTCCCTCTCTGCCTGTGTCTGTCTCTCTGTCTCTTTTTGATTACCTCTTAATAATGAAGAGATTAGCTGGGTGTGGTGGCACATGCCTGTGATCCCAGCACTCGAGAGGCTGAGGCAGGAGGATCATTGTGAGTTTGAGACCAGCCTGGACTACAAAGTGAGCTCAAAGCCAGCCTGACCTGCATAACGAGACCCTGTCTCAAAAGGACTAACTAACTAACTAACTAACTAAATACATAAATAAATAAAATCTCTCTCTCAAAAAAATGAAGAGATTTATTTCTCCCAGTCGGAGTTGAAAATACTTGAAGGTGTCCTCTGTCATTGTTCCACACGAGGCCTCTCTTTAGTTTGTCCCCCTTCTTGCTTTCCCTTAGCCCATGCTGCTTTCCCAGGGCTTGACAAGTGGCAGCCCAGGCCTGTTTCCTGCATGGCATTTGTCAGTATAGTGTCTTGACACACAGCAGTGCCTCCTGAGCCCACGGCCTTACATGTGCTAGGCCAGTGCTCTACCAGTGAGCTGCACCCCAGCTGATACAGACCGTTTTTGAGACAGGGTCTCACTAAATTGCCCAGGCTGGAGTCAAGCTTTTGATCCTCCTGCCTCAGCCTCCCAGGATGTTGCGATTACAGAGGTGTATTACCATACTTGTCTGATAACCTGTGTATTGTTGAAAAATGCATAATATTGTTTCATATGTATGTATATTATATATAAAACAGATATTTTACTATAAACTTCTATTTTTTTGTCTTTTGTTCCACCTTGATTTTGAGCACTGTTTGTACAACTGGAGCTGTCCCTGTGGACTCTGGTGTTGTGTTCTCTTTTTTGCAGAGGCTGTGGTTGGCTGCACAGTCCCTGGGTGATAAACACTCTTAGGGTCTCCAACTTTTTTCCCCTAGTTGTTGTTTTAAATTTCGAATCTAAAATATAGAAAAGAATGTAAAACAGAATTGTACGGTATAGTAAATACAAAGCTAATATCCTTATTACCAGTTGCCTAGGTCAAAATATACAGCCTGGTGCAGTGGCACACTCTCATAACCCCTGTTACTAGGGAGCCTGAAGCAGAAGGATCACAAGTTTGTGCCCATGCTGGGCAATTTCGTGAGACCCTTTCTCAAAGTAAATTTTTTAAAAGCCTGGGGATATACCTCAGTGGTAGAGTGGCCCCCTGGGTTTGAGCCCAGTGTGGGAGTCGGGATAAAAGGATATTGCTGCCAGGTGTGATGGTGGGCATCCGTGATTCCAGCACTTGGGGCTGAGGCAAGGGATTCACAGAGTTTGAGGACAGCTTGGGCTACATAGTGAGACCCTGACTCTGAAAACAACAACAACAAAATTGCCAACTCTCCAGAAACCTCTGTATCACTCTTACAGACAGGCTTTTCCCATCCCTCTGGAGGTAATCACTATCCTTGCTTTTCTTACCTCTTCTCCAGTCACTTATAAACATTTTTAACTTGTTTTGTTTTGTTTTGCAACAGGGTCTTGCTGTGTAGTTCAGGCTGGCCTTGAGTTCACTGTGTAGCCCATGCTGTCCTCAAACTCTCCACCATCCTCCTGCCTCAGCCTCCCAAGTGCTGGTATTACAGGTGCTGGTATTACATGCCCAGCTTAAACATTTTTAACTATATAAGCAGCATATTTTTGTGGGGGTTTTTTTTGGCCCAGCATTATGTTTATAAAAATTAATCCATGGTATCTTTTAAGCTCTTTGTTCATTTTCTTCCCTTTCCACTTCCCTTTCTCTCCTAAGAAACGACATCTTGCTGTTTTGCCCGTAGTGGCCCTGAACTCTTGGGTTTAAGCCATCTTCCTGCCTCAGCCTCCCTAGTAGGAGACTAGTCACTTCCAGGTTTTTTGTTATTTCTTTTTATTTTGTTTTGCAGTATTAGGGATGAACCCAGGCACATTCTACCAATGAGCTATATCCAAAATCTTTTTTTGGAGGCAGTATCTCAGTAAGTTGTCTAGGCTGGCCTTGTTTGTGATCCTCCAGCCTCAGCTTCCCAAGTAGCTAGCATTACAGGCATGTGCTACCATGCCTCAATATTTTTGTTATTGTTGTTGTTGTTTCTAAGACCAAATGGCATCCAGGGGTAATGAGAATTATAATCCTGGAAAGCAGAGATTTAAGCAGGCTCAAAAATGTGCTCCCTGTACCTTTTCATTGCTGTGTGGTGTGCCATTATCCGACTGTTGTCATCCTTTTGATTCTCTGTAGATGGACATTTGGCTTGGTCTTGCTTTGGGGTGAGGGCAGCAGTGATCCTACAAACATTTTTTGTTCAGTATCCAGGTCAGTGTGTTGTGAATTTTCCCAGGAATGTGGTTCTAGGAGTAGGATTGCCAGGCCCTAGGGTCTGTGTACTTTGCCCTGTTTCTCTAATGCTGATCTCTTCCAGAGTGGTTACGCACATTTATATTCCTTCCAGAAGGAAGGAGCTTCCAGAGAGTTCTTCATTGCTCCAAATCCTCACCAGCTCATGGCACTGTTAGACCTAGGCATAAAGGTAGCTCCTTACGGTTTTCATCTGATAACTTACTGTGTCATTGATAACAAGGATGAGTACCTAGTCAGTGATAAGTCTTTTGCAGTTTTTTGTTTTTTGGGTTTTTGTTTGTTTGTTTGTGTTTTTCTTTCCGTACCAGGAATTGAACTCATGACCTTGTGCTTGCCAGGCAAGTGCTGTGCCGCTGAGCTAAATCCCCAGCCCCCATCTTTTGCAGTTTTAGGAAGTGCTTCTTTAAGTCTTTGTGCATTTTTCTGTTTGGTCAGGTAGTCTTTTTCATCTAACTTACAGTAATTCTGTTTATAGTGTCCCAAGTAACTGAAATGCTCGGTTTTATGCAGACAGTTTTAATAATTGTAATACTTCTTGTTTTTGTTTTTTTGAGACAGGCTCTTACCAGATAGTTGAGACTGGCTTTGAACTCACTCTGTAGTCCAGGTTGGCCTTGAACTCGAAGTGGTCCTTTTGCCTCAGCCACCATGCTTGGCTGTAATGATTGGTACTTCTAAATTAAGTCTTGGGGGTGGAGAGGCTGGGGGTTGAACCCAGGGCTTTCCAACTGAGCTGCATGCCTAGCCCTTTTTTATTCTTTATTTTTTTAAATTTTGAGACAGTGTCTTGCTAAACTGCTGAGTTGCTGAGGGTGGGCTGGAACTTGGCATCCTCCTGCCTTAGTCTCTCAAATGTTATAACTACAAGCGTGCAACACTACACCTGGCTTTTGTATCATTTTGGCCTGTCATTCCTTCTACCAGTATATGATGTCCCTTTTTGCCCCTATGTCCAGCCCTTCAAGTTTTATCTTGTCCAGTTCTAGAACTTCTAACCTGTTCTCTTTTTCTCTCTTTCTCTTTCTTTTCTTTCTTTCTCTCTTTTCTTTTCTTTTCTTTTTTCTTTCTTTCTTTCCCTCCTTCCCTCCCTCCTTTCCTTTCCTTCCTTTCCTTCTTCCTTTCTTTCCTCCTTCCTTCTTCCTCCTTCCTTCCTTCCTTTCTTCCTTCTTTCTTTCTTTCTTTTTCTTTCTTTCTTTTTTTCTTTCTTTTCTTTCTTTCTTTCTTTCTTTCTTTCTTTCTTTCTTTCTTTCTTTCTTCCTTCCTTCCTTCCTTCCTTCCTTCCTTCCTTCCTTCCTTTCTTCCTTTCTTCCTTTCCTTTCTTTCTTTTCCTTCCTTCCTTCCTTCCTTTTTTTCCTTCCTTCCTTCCTTCCTTCCTTTCTTTTCTTGCTTCCTTCCTTCCTCCATCCCTTCCTTCCTTCCTTCCTCCTGCTTCAGCCTTCCGAGCACTGGGATTACAGGCGTGTGCCACAGAACCCAGCTTATTTATTTATTTGGTAGCAGAAATCAATCTTAGGACCTTGTACTTGTCAGGCAGGTGCTTGTGCGAGCTGCATCCCCAGCCCTAGGATTAGGGTTAACTGTGACAAAAATCCCACAACTTTTTTTTCTTTTCTGTCACTAGATTAAGCCCAGACCCTTTCTAATGCTAGACATGCAGCTTCCACTGAGTTATACCCCAGTCTTTTTTGTTTGTTGGTCTTTTTGAGACAAGGTCTTGCTATGTAGTTCATGCTGGCCTTGAACTCTGCTCTGTAGCCCAGGCTGGCCTCAAGCTTACGGTATTCTCCCTTCCTCAGTCTCTGGAGTGCTGGGATTATAGGCATGTGCCACCATTCCTAGCCATTTTGAGCTTACTGATGCAATTTTCACTCATAAATCTCTTCTTCAGTTATATCTATTTCTACTAGACTCACTTTATTTTGATTCTGAGTGATTATATTTTTCATGCCACACTTGCTCAGTTTGCAGGGTCAACCTACCTTTCTGAGGAGACTCACCGTGTTTGGCTTCCATCCTTTCAGGCATCAGTATTGTCTTCTGTGGACGCCATGGTGCTGGAGCTGCCCGGTGTTGGGGGTGCCTTCTGTGTGCCTGTGTGCCTGTGTGCCTGTCCTCGTTGTTGGCTACTCTGGCTGCTAATCTGTGATGCCAAGCCCCGGCTTCCCTCTAGGTGAATTTAGGGGATGGGACTTGTGCCAGGGCTCAACCTCCCTGTTTGCCCTCTGCCATCTTATCCTTCCCTGGGGCCCCAGCACCCTTCCTCTGGGGCTTTTTCTGGAGGCAGCCATTCCCAAGCTTGCTGGCACCCAACAGTACCCAGGTGAATATCTGGGGGCTCCAGGGTGGCCCTTTGCTCCCCAACAGCTCTTGTTGCAGTGGTGCTCTCATCTGGTCCTTGAGCGCTGAGGTCAGGCAGCGGAATCTTGCAGGCAGTTGTGTATGTGGGACAGTACTCCCTCCTCCCTGAGACTCAGCCACCCCGGGCTTCCCTCCAGGTGCGTGCAGAGCCTGTGAACGCAGCCAGCTTGCAGCCATTCAGGAGGGCACTGGCGATAATCCCCAGTTACTATCCCCTGCACACAAAGCCAGGGCCTTTTCAGGGGAGCCCTCAGCATCCCATGTTGGGGTGGAGCGGATTCTGGAACACACCTGGTCTGCCGTGTTGCTGCTTTGCAGGCTGCATGTTCACACTGGTGGACAAGCTGCCTGTAGGTGAAGAATTCAGTATTATAATAAGTAAAGTTTGTTCTAGGTCACTCAAGGGGTAAGACAGGATGACACTGTGGTTTTGGCTGGTGCTTTGTAAGTCTCTTCCTTCTGATCATTTAAAGGGGCAGCAGCTTTTCCTGCAAGGATAGCTGATTAGCCCTGGAAAGCACTTGCCAAGCAGCCAGCTTTCTTCCAGTGTTTGTGCTGACTGAGCTGGGGGCTAGGGTTTTCTAGCTGATCTCCCTTCCTGGCAGTAGGAAAGATAGAAAGGAAAAAACTTTGAAGGAGATCAGGGAATGGGACAGCTGCAGATGGGACAGTCCATCAGCACAAATCTGGTACAGGTAGGGTTAGTCGTACGTGTTCATATTATTTCCATTTCGGTTCATAAGCTTTCAGTCTTTGAAAGTATTCTCCTTTGGATCCACAAACTTTAAGGACTTCATCCTTGGGAGATAATTATGATGTGTTAATGGTATGTCTATAATGTTGGGTATTGCAGTATTGTTTGTAATATTTAAAAATTTCAAGCAAACTAAAGATTATATTGAAGGAACTCACAAAGTTAGTGCATACCCAATTGTGTAAAGCTTTGTAACACTTACAAAAGATGCCATAGAACCAGACATTTTGGTGTACACCTGGAATCCTAGCACTCTGGGAGGCCGATGCAGGAAGATTACAAGTTCAGGTGCAACCTGGGCAACTTAGTGACTTAGCAAGACTTTGTCTTAAAGTAAAAAAAATATATAAAAAGAGCCAAGAGGATAGCTCAGTGAAGAGTCCTTAGGTTCAATCCCTAGCACTGCCCTTGCCCCACTTACAGAAAGTTATTCAGTTAAATACAAAAATGTTCGGAATATAGTGAGGGAGGAAGGAAAAGCAATTATAACACATACAGTAATCCCTTGTCATATAAATATGTGCAGGTTGGCTCTGCAAGTGATGTTCTTTTTTTCCTACATTTTTAGAATTTTGTATAGTGAATATGTTTTATGTGAACACAGACTCACTAAAGTGTAGGTGGCACACTGCAATCCCAGCACTTGGGAGGCTGAGGCAGGAGGATCACTGTGAGTTTGATACCAGCCTAAGCTAGGTAGTGAGTTCTAGGCCAGTCTGAACTATATAGTGAGACCCTGTCTCAAAAAACAAAACAACAAAACATAATCACTAAAAAGGTAATAGTAAAGCCAAATGTTGGTGTGGGTGATATGAAACTAGTACATCAAATATGTTGTTACATCCTTTCTATTTTATTTTTTGTGACACTGGGCTTGGAACCTAGAGCCTTGTGCATGTACAAGAGCCTTTACCACTGCACTGTGCCCTCACCCTGCCTTTGTCCTTGTAGAAAGTAGTGAGGTACAGTATACTGTATTTCAAGAACAGTAATATGGGATCTTTTTTTTTTATTGAGACAGTGTATTGCTGTGTAGTCCAAGCTAGCCCAAACTCAGTATGTAGTCCAATCAAAATCATGGTGGTCCTCCTGCCTTACTCTCCTGAGTGCTGAGATTATAGGCATATACCACCATGCCTGGCTCTGTTTATACTTTTGAACTAGAAAGTATATGTTTTTACAAATTTATCTGAAGAAAAAAAAAAAAACAAAAAACAAATCTATCTGAAGGAAATAATTCAGAAAAGGAAAAGTTGAGCATTAGGGCTTTATACTAATAAAGTAGTCATAAGTAAGCACAGTCTGAGTTAAAGCTAAATGTCCAAGAGTTGGGACCAGATTAAATGAATCATGGTCTATAGAATATTTCACAACTATTAAAAATAGGTCTCTGTAACATATGTAGTAAAATGGCAGTGTTTGCAATTACATTAAAATTACATTTGCATGTGAACAATGAAGTTAAAGACAAGGTCTAGGGATGTAGTTCAGTGGTAGAGCACCCGTCTAGTTTGCACAAGGCCCTATGTTCCATCCCCAGAGCTGGAAAAAAAGGAAGACAGTAAGGACACACATGAATATATATAGCTGACTTATGTAGAAGCTAAATTGTGCTACTAGTATGTCTCTAATAATTAACATGTATAAAGGGGATGAACTGGTAAATTGGAGCTGACCCAGATTTATACATTTGGCTTTTGAAATACTGTCACTTGGAAAAGCTTGGATTATTTCCTTCACCCTGGCTTGCTGGTTGCAAGCTACCACTTACCTGTGGTTCCCCTACCCATATGAGCTACATCCTGCTTGACAGAAATGATGTTAGAGGCACAGGCAAACATGCAGTGACGATTTGGAATGCATGGGGATGACGCTTCAGCAGTAGAACTAGTGACGGTCCTTTTGTCCTGTGCTGCAAGGATAATAGGTGTAGGGACTCCTTTTGTCCCACTCGTGGTCCATCCTTATCTTCTGCTAGCTGAGACAGGATCTTCTCAGATGAGCGTGTGTTTCTTGCCCATCCACACAGGGAAGGGCTATGTGGAGCGTGTGTTCAGAGCAGAGGAGAGCTCCAGGGAGCTCCAGGGGAGGCAGAAGCACTTGCTGCTCACTTGATTCAGCCTATTTGCCCTAAAGAGTTTTGCACAGATGCCAAGGCTTGAGAAGCACCTTGGCCAGGATTCTGTTGTCCTTGGCTCCCTGGAATCTCAACCCCTCTCCTTCCTGTTTAGTCCTATTCCCCCAACTTTTGTGGGTTCTCACTTAGACAACCTTTCTCCTTCTTTGTGGGTCTCCTGCTTGGCTCTGTCATATTCCTCTTGTTTTCCTTTTCTAGAAAGAAAAGTCAAAATCGAACAGTTCAGCAGCCCGGGAACCTAATGGCTTTCCCTCTGATGCCTCAGCCAATTCCTCTCTCCTTCTTGAATTTCAGGGTGAGTTGCATCTGTATGTCTTCCTTGCAGGAAAAAGGAAACTTAGATGATCTCCTAAGAATAAGAATCATTTGCATACCATCTCCTTGCCTATGGTTCTGCTGGTATTTTTCTAGGCACTTTACACAAGTCTCTTCATTTACATCTCACAGTAACTGCAAGGTAGATGACAGTAGCCTCATTTTCCACTGTAGGAAACTGGAGTGATGTGTAAAGTTACTCAACTCATACATTGTAGACCCTGTGTTGGGGCCTGACGTTCAGGAGCAGAAGCTGCTTTACTTTAGGTGATGTAGTTAGGTGTCATGGTAGGCTACCCAGAGCAAGGCTCTGTCTCCTAACCAACCCACCTGTGTCAGCCCTGGAACCACAGTGCCACCTTTCAGTGCCCTTTTCAGCTACGTGGCAGTCATTGTTTATGAAGCACTTCACTTCTGTTTCTCATTTTTATTCATCAGCCTGTGGTACAAACCAGGTAGTTATTGTCATCCGCCTTTAGGAAATTGATGCTCACAGAAGAGTTCCACAGCTCACAAGTGACAAAGCATTAGTCTTTTTATAATAGAATCCACTTGAGTGTGGAGGAAAGAGGTCTTTGTAGAAGTGAAGACTACAGTGGGCTTACAGGCTTCTCTTTGGAACGAGACTTGGAGTCAGCCCAGCATGCAGCAGCTGCCCCGTTTCCACCCCACCCAGGTCAGTGGCATATGGGAAGGAGAATACAGGAGACGGTTCTCTAGCTCTGTGTAGGGTGTTTAATAATTAATCACAAGTCTCTGGAAGGCTTACGAGGCCACATTTCCTCAGTCTGGTCCTTGTCTTCTCTTCATTCAGGAAGTGGTTAATGAACTCCTGCTGTGTGCCCGGTACTTACTGTGTGTTGCATGTGGGAGTCACAGAGCCTGCGGAACAGCTGTGTGAAGCAGTGAGCGCAGGGTGCACAGAGCCCAAGAGGAGCATGTTCCCCCGCAGGAGCCAGGGAGCAGGACTGCTGCACTGCAGGTGTAGGGCTTTCCAGAGAGCCTGGGCGGGGAAGTCACAGCAGCACAGAGGACTGTGTCTGAACAGCCCTTGGGTTAGCGTGGAGCTTGCTGAAGCCCAGGCTGCTTGTGGCAGAACAGCAGGCAGTGAGGGCAGAAATCAGCTGGACTTCGCATGTGGTGGTTGGGCCTAAGTGGCATCCTGTAGGTGGCAGGGACTATGCCAGGGTTTGGCTTGATGACTCTGGCGTGGTGTAAGGGCAGGGCACTCAGTGACTGTCACACAAGCCCATGCAAGAGACGATGAGGCCTTGGGGCTGGGGCTGGGGCTGGGGCTCAGTGGTAGCATGCTTGCCTACCATGCACAAGGCCTTGAGTTCAATCCCCAGTACCACTTACAAAAGACAGTGAGGCCTGAACTAAGGCAGCAGGAGAGGACAGAGCAGGCTCAAGTGACCTCACAGCAGGAGGAGACATCAGTCGGGTGACCAGCCCTGGAGGGAGGGAGGGACAGGACAGAGCTGTGGTCGTTTTTAATTTAGATGGCAACTTTGAGCCTTCAGAGAGAGTGCCCAGGTTGTAGTCCCTTATCTGTGGGGAGTCAGGCAGCCAAAAGCATGAACTGACCACCTCCAGACACCAGCCTCCTTCAGGTACCCAAGAGTGCCAGGCTAATGCTGGCATTTCCTGGGTGATGTTAGAAAGATGGGAAGTACTGACTGTGGCCGCAGCTCCACCCTTTCTTCCGCTGGGCAGTGAGAAAAGACCAGGCCCAAATTGTAATTGGTGTTAATGAAGAAGCAGCTAAATAAGCATAACCCAAACCTCCCAAAGTCTGAAAGATTTTGATGCGTTGGTGCTTAGAATATGTGTGGTCAAATAGAAAGTAATTAATTCCCTTAGACTCTGCAGAGAATTGGCAGTGCACAGAAGCCCCCCCGGGGGGGGGCGGCAGTGTCTGCAGTATTGACACAGTGTCCACTGTGCTCACGGCTGCCTGTGGAGATGCCAGCTTCCCAGCTCTGGACTGAGTGTCCCTTGAACATGACTGCCCCAGCTGGTGCCCTTGCTGTGTTTGGTTTTCAGATGAAAACAGCAACCAGAGTTCCGTGTCTGATGTCTATCAGCTCAAGGTGGACAGCAGCACTAACTCGAGCCCCAGCCCTGAGCAGAGCGAGTCCTTGAGCCCCGCACATACCTCTGACTTCCGCACTGATGACTCCCAGCCCCCTACTCTGGGCCAGGAGATCCTTGAGGGTGAGTTGTGGGTGACCCTGGACAGCATCACAGAGGGGCTTTGCCTCTCACCTGATTTTTCTCTTTAATGCCAGCATTTGGGAGACTGAAACAGAAGGATCCCTAGTTTGAGACCATCCTGGGCTACACAGTGAGTTCAGAGTTGGCCTGGACTAGATAATGAGACGCAGTCTAAAACTGATAGAATCAGATGTCACCCTAAGTCCTTCCAATGTCAGAGTTTATACTTATTGCATTATACCCTGGGATTTGTTGGTATAATAGATGTGTATATGTCTTTGGCCCTTGGTAGCTTCTGTGGATCTGTGACCTGTTAAGAGTAAGCTGCAAAATAGAACTGGTTTCACTGCTGGGGGTGGTGGCACATGCCTGTAATCCCAGCACTCAGGAGGCTGAGACAGGGGAATTGTTGTCAGTTGGAGGCCAGCCTGGGCTACTAAGTGAGCTCAAGGCCAGCCTGAACTACATAGCGAGACCCTGTTTCAAAAAGACCAAAAAAAAAAAAAAAAAAAAAGAACTGGTTTCTCTGTGGGTAATCCCTAGTGCAGCTTACATTTGCTGTGTACTTAGTATTTTTCATTCACTGTTGGGCTCTTTCCATGTACTGTTTAGTTCCTGTAGCAGCCCTCTCCTAACACTGGGATAGGAGTCAGGGTTGCGATGCTTGGGTTAGACAGTGGGGAGGACTGGCTGGCGGCTCTGACTTAGCCGTACTTTTCCCGTCTACCATCTACCATTAGTGACTGTGGCTCCTCACCAGAGTCCTGGCCCTACTAGGCCACTGTTCCTCCATCTTCACAAATTCACCTCCTTGTGATTTACGGGACAGCTCCCCAGGGTGAGGCCGAGACTCCCGGTCTCTTGCCTCTGTGAGGCCCGCACTTGGGTTGACCTTGCTTTTTCAGAGCCTTCCCTGCCTGCCTCAGAAGTTGCCGACGAGCCTCCCACCCTTACAAAGGAAGAACCAGTCCCGCTGGAGACCCAGGTAAGGAGGCCCTTTGTCCTTCCCTGTTTCCAGGGCAAGAAGGACAGCTTTGCGGTGAGGTTGCATGGACATGTTGAGTGTGCTCAGGTGGGCTGCGGAGCCAGGCAGGCTGCATCTCCAGGTCTTGGGAGGGAAGAGGGTGTCTTCGAGGAGGCAGAGGGCAGACCCAGGATGTCACTGGGTGTGTGTGAGCGTCTGTCACCACGGGCCCCACCTCTTCTGGCTCTGCTCCTTCTAGATGGCTGAGGAGGAAGACGACTCCGGTGCCCCACCGCTGAAGCGCTTCTGTGCGGAGCAGCCGGCAGTGCCGCAGACAGCCTCTGAGAGCTAGCACTGCCCAGTGCGCGCCTCCTGGCCCTGCCTCTATTTATTGCATTCTGGCTCTGGCTGTGCAGTGTCACTGGGGTTAGGGTTGCACCAGGGTCCAGAGCCTGCACATGGGAGCCCTCCAGGCTGGAAGGCCGGCATAGGACCTAGGATTATAGCGTCATCGTCTTGTCCCTGGCACCTGTGTCAGCTTGCTCCTGGGGAGAGGAATGCTTATGTCCTTTTGCACCCGAGCAGGCTGGAGCCTCTGCCATTCCAGGGTTCGTCTGTCACCTCCCGGTAGCGTTCTCTGCTCCAGAACCTCTGGGCAGAGCAACTGGCGCTTCTTCAGGAGAAAGAGATGTGGAGGGCACCTCTGGGGAAGAGAGTGCCTCGGTTACTTGAACTTGAACGAAGACTGTAGGTTGTGGGACTTCTGCCCAGCCTGGGCCCGTGGTCACCTTTAGAGGACTGGGTGGAGACGTGGGTGGGCTGGGAGAGGCTCCTCCCCCGAGAAGGAAGGATTTTTCTTGCACAGGCCACGAAGTCCCTGCAGGTTTCTTGCCATCCTGGCCCTTCTGCCCGGTCCTCTGGAGGTGCTGCCTCTCCTGGGTGCTCCTGCTGCCAACAGCCCTGTCCCTGTAACTGTCCTGGCCCCTCGAGTATATGCACACACGCAGCTTCCTGTCTTCACCTGTACGTTTCATTCCAGTGTCCCCTGCCTCCTGCCACCACCCACCCCAGCAAGGGTTGAGGTTCTGACAACAGTACCCACCTCTACAGTACTCCTCAGCTCAGACTTTGTAGAAAGTTCCCTTTTTTTTGAAATCTGCATGTTCAATTGAACTTTGTGATTTTATTTTTTGTTTAAAAGAAGTTTAAGAAAATGGAAATGGGCAACAGCAAGTGAAGACTTATTTTAGCACTGAATAGAATATTTTTAAAATTAAACTATTTGAAATACGTCCTGTTGATACCTGAGTTCTTCATTCTCCGGGGGCTGGGGGTGGGGTGGCTGGTGGCTGTACCGTCCCACTGCAGAGTGCTCCCGCTAGCGCGGTGCGAGAAGGCTCAGAGACCCCTTCGCCGTTGGCGGCCTCTCTTGGCTTGCTGAGAGCACTGAATGTAACCAGGTGCTTGGGACAGATTCCTGAGTTTACTTTTTGAATTTGTGGTAAAATACATGTAATATAAAATACCCATTGAACACCTTCAGGTTTTTTAGGGGCTAGGGATATAGCTCAGTGGCACAGGCGCCTGCCTGGCAAGCACAAAGTCCTGAGGTCAAATCCCGGTACCCACGCAAAAATAAAACTTAGGTTTTTTGAGACAGGGTGTGTACATAATCCAAGATGGCTCTGAACTCACTATGTAGCCCAGGCTGGCCTTAAACTCACTGTGATCCTCCTGCCTCTGCCTTCTGGGAGTGCTGGGGTTACAGGCATGGGCCACTGCACCCAGCTTCATTTTAAACTAAAGTGTACAGTTGAGTGGTACTTGGTACATTCATGATGATGTAGTCATCACGACTATAGAGCTCTGAACTTTGTCATTACACCAGACTAAAACCTTGTACAAGCCTGGCATGATAGCCCATGCCCATAGTCCCGTCTACTCAGGAAACAGGCAGGAGGATCACCATGTCCAAGGCCTGCCTGGGAGAGTTAATGAGATTCTTACTTCCAGAAATAATAATATAGCTCAGTAGTACAAGCACTTGCCTCACAAGTGCAAGGTCCTGAGTTTGATTTCCTGTACAAAAAAAAATGCAGGCCAGCAACTTCACCACCACCCTAGAACCTTGATAAGATGTGGGTTAGGATGAGAAGAGGGAAGAGGGAAAGCCAAGAAATGACCACAAGATAGTCCCCCACTTGTAGATCTCTTCTGGATACTGGTAGGTCCAGTACTTAGGCATATTTGATTTTTTTTTTTCTTGTGGTGCTAGGGATTGAATTTAGGGCCTCATATACGCTAGGTAAGTGCTCTACCATGAACTATATCCCCAGCCCCACAGTTCATTTTATTTATTTATTTATTTATTTATTTATTTATTTATTTATTTATTTATTTATTTATTTATTTCACTTTCAGTTTTTTGAGACAGGGTCTTGCTTTGTAGTTCAGGCTGGCCCTGAACTCTAGCTGGCCTCGAACTCACAGTGATCCTCCTGCCTCCCAAGTACTGAGATTATAGGCGTGTACCACCATGCCCGGCTAGTTTTTGATTTTTTTTTTTTTTGAGGCAGGGTCTCATTAGCCTTGAACCAGGCTTTGTGGGGATCACCCTGCCCAACCTCTCAGTGTGCTAAGGTTACTACAGGCGTGCACCACCATGCCTGGCTTGTGTGATTAGTATTTGTGAAGGATCCTGGCAGTTACTTTTAGACTGTCCCATGACCTTTGTTTTCTTTTGCGAGATTCAGGTTGTTGTTTGGTTTTCTGAGACAGGGTCTTGCTTGTAGCCTAGCCTGGGCTTGAATTTGAAGCGATCCTCCTGCTTCAGCCTCCTGAGTGCTGGGATCCCAGGCATACACCACTATGCCTGGCTGATCTATCACTGTTTTACGTCCATTCACCATCCAGTCACTTCTGTTTTTTAAATTTTCTCTAAGTACTACTACACACTCATGGATTCCCTTTATAGTCAACATTTTTTTTTTTTTTTTGGTACTGGGAATTGAACTCAGGACCTTGTACTTGCAAGGCAGGCACTGTGCCACTGAGCTACATCCCTGGTCTCCTTTACAGTCAACATGTTATGATCCATGCTTGCGTGTGTGTAGTGCTGGGGAACTTGAACATGCTAGGCAAGTAAAGGCAAGGGCCCTGCAGCCAGCTCTACCCCCAGTCCTTTTTTTTTTTTTTTTTTACCAGGAATTGAACTTACCACCTCTCACTTGTCAGGCAGGCACCATGCCACTGAGCTAAATCCCCGGCACCACCCCCCACTTTTTGAGACAGGGCCTTGATCTTGATTTGTAGTCCAGATACTTAGGTACTCACCACATGTAGAGCCCAGGCTGGCCTCCTGCATGCTGGGATTACACACTTGCGCCACTGTACCCAGCCATTGTTTGTTTTTGTTTTTGCCTTTTTGAGATGGTCTCACTATGAAGTTCAGGTTGGCCTTGAGCTCACTTTGTAGCCCAGGCTGGCCTCGAACTCAAAACAATCCTCCTGCTTCAGCCTCCTGAGTGTTGGGATTACAGGCTACAGGCATGCGCCACCACACCCGGCTCCGGCCGTTGTTTTTAATGTCCAAATTGTTCCACATTTGGTCAGTTAGCATCCTTTGTGCTGGCTCCTGTGATTTTGGACATTTTGTCCTTATTCTTTAAGCAATTTCTTTCTTTTGGGTACAACAAGATGTTCCAGCCTAACACTTGGGACTTTGCCAGCCACAGTCATTTTCCCAATTAGCCCTGGATCCTTTTAGTGAGAAATATTTTTAAAACTTAGCCAGGCATGGTGGCTTGTGCCTGTAGTCTTAGCACTTGGGAGGCTGAGGCAGGAGGATTGCTGTGAATTC